GTGCATTTTTTAATATTGTGCATATTTCATTAAGATGTGATAAATGTTCTTCAAATGTTTTGGAATAGATAATTACATCATCAATATAAGCTAATGCATATTTCCATCGTGCTGGTACTAATATGTGATTAATTACACGTTGGAATGTTGCGGGTCCGTTGGTTATTCCTTGTGGAAGAACAGTAAATTGATAATGATTGACACGGGTTGAAAAGGCCGTTTTAAGACGGTTCTCTTTAGATAGAGGTACCTGGAAATAACCAGATTTAAAGTCGAATTTTGTATAATACATGGCGTCAGATAATTGATCAAAAATTTCATCAATACAAGGTAATGAAAATGCATCTTTCATTGTAATAGCATTTAATCATCGATAGTCAATGCAAAATCGCATTGTTTTGTCTTTTTTTCTTAACAAGAACAATGGGTGATGACCATGGAGAAGTTGATTCTTCAATTTGACCACATTCTAATAATTTTTGTGTTTCTTGTAATTTAATATCTTGATCTTTTGAAGAAGAAGAAGAATATTGTTTTGAGTAAATAGGTGGATGGTCATCTGTCTTGATTGCTGATTGTGGTGGAATGTTAATAATGGATGGTGTAGGATCAAATAAAATTTTATTGTGCCATAATACATCTTGAATTTTTGAACGATTTTTTGCATTTTCTATATGTTTTGTTAATTCGAATATTTTTTGTCGAATTTGATCAGAATAACATTTTTGCTCGTAAATGTGTTTGTAAATCATTACCAGATAAGAAATATTCATTACAATTATCACGAATGACATCTAATTTTTCTTCTTTCGAGTTGTCATTTTTATTGATGACAGCTCTACATTTTGATTTAGTTGAAACTTGGGATTTTGATTGGTTATGTTTATTGAAAAATAAATTTTGTTTTGTGGAACTTGATGTACTAAAGCATATTGTGTATGTTGATGGACGAGAAAGAGCTCCGATTCGTGTATTCCTAGGTAATGTTGTTTGTTGATTTTGTGCATTGATTAATAATACTTTGGCCTTATGATTGTTAATGTGTAATAATGTATGTGGTATAAAAATAAATTTTGGGGCATTGTTTGAATACGGTTCAAATATAAGATTATTATCATTATCAATTTTACATGAAATATCCACTAATGTTTGCGAATGTGGTGGAAGAGTAACTTGATCAATGGGTAATTCTGGATAATTAATAGACATAGGTTCTACATATGGAATTGATATTAATTGATTATGCTGATCAGGTATAGTTAATTGTTGCTGATTACCAAATAGGTGAACATGATTTGAATTAATCTAATCATTGCCTAATAATAAGGATGTAATTGAATTTGTTGCAACATGAATAACGACGTATGTTGTTATCGATTTAGGGCGTGGGTGTGCGTGTGCGTGCGGATTGAAGGAACAATTATACCCACACCCACACCCTCAAGATAGTTCACTGATTTTGCTGTCTGCTGTTGATTATCAAACGAATAGATGATAGAAAGTGATCTGATGTTGTGAGGCACTAGTTTTGATAGGTGATTGAACTATTGATAACATTGAATTTTTTGATAAATGTACCACGTGATATAGGAGCTTAGATGGAAACTAATATGGAGTTTCTCTCGATATTCGGAAACGATATCGATATTCCAAAATTGATTGGTCAATTGATTCTCTTCCGGGTAAGGAATCGTGTGTAGAATAAGTCGTTTCGTCTCTTCACAAAGACCAACATCAGACAAGTACTCAATACGCTGATCAACAAAAGCATCAATTGACCAATAGCTTAAAATAGAATCGAGATGAAATGCAATGAGTTTTGACGTATGTTGTATGAGAAAAAAATTGTTTGATTTTTATATTCAACTGATATTTGATCATTACTTGATTCGTAGATAGCTGTGTCTCAGAAGATTTTCATTATTTGGACTACATATACAAGAGCATTGTTCCAGTAATGAACCGGCTTACTCATGTCTTTGATCTTTTCAAAGGAATGATTAACTTTTGTCATTCATTAATTAACAAAAAAAAAACGTGTTTTTTCAATCATTTTTAACAGAAACTTGACAAGGTTCTTTATTTTTAATCAATGTTTGTAAAATAGAATTAATATGAAAGACTAAACAAACATATTTAGATATGAGAGCGTAGATTTTTATATTCTTCGATCATCTCTTTTACGAAACTAATCACAATTTCAGGTTGTTCCATTGGAAATGAATGATTTTCCTCTTGTAATTGTGTATGTCGTCCTTTTTTGAACCATTTAGCAAGATCAACTGCCGTTGGTGGAAGTGGAATATTACTACTCGTTACAGGTTTTGATGCTCGAACAACATGAATTGGAATATTATGGACAAAACTTGAATCTTTAATAATTTGATAAATATTTGAGACAGGTTGCATACTTGCTAGATAAATATGCCATGTTAATTCAGATGTACATTGAAGTTTAAAATTCTCATCAAGAGCATATGTACAATAATTGCGAAGAACATCTTTTGGCCAATGACCGAGTCGTTCAGGTTTGTCCATTTTTGATATCATATCTTCGATAGATAACCATTGATTTTTTTTGTTGAGCAACTCTTGCAAATTTCTCCATGTTTTTAACTCCTACTTCATAGCTGTATGGAGAATATATAATAGGATCAAGTAAAAGTAACGATCGAAAAAGTTGTCTGGATGCTAATGCAACCGTTAATACTAATGCATATGCATCTAAGGAGTAGCCAATACCAAGAAGATCATTTTTAGATTGATTAAGCATTTCGATAAAATGAAAAACATCTTCAGCAAACCATTGGAAGGGATATGGAAGAGGATGTTTTTGTGACTGACCATGACCACGAAAGTCAAGAGAAATAACATGGAAACCAGATAATGCTTCATTAATAATACGATCATAACATCGACCGTGCAATGTAAGACCATGACAAATAAGTATTGTCGGTTGATGACCTTTCCATTCCCAATAATGGAGTTTAAGTGTCTCTTGACTAATCTTACCATTCTCTTGAACAATTGGCCGATTAGGTAAAGTAATAAAATGACTAATAGGAATAGAAGACATCATCCGTCGAAAGATACGACCAATTATAAAAAGCATCCGATCTAAAACAAACAAAGTTGTTGTGGATTTAAATATTTTTTTTACAATAAAATGATGTAAAAATACAAGAAAAGAAAAAAAACATTCATTTATACTATATGATAACCTTTCGCTTTTAGATTCAACTGAATTTAATCGTGCATCTCATGGGTTGGCCGTGGGTGTGTGGATGTGGGTGTGGCTTAAAGTATTACCCACACACCCACATCCACACCCACACCCACTTCACATCTACATCTATACTCACAGCCACACCCAACCTAGCACTCACACAACCACAGCCACACCCATCGTTCCATCGAATTGAGTTCGAACATCGTAAATAAAGACTTTAGAATTATTTTTCATATCAATAAAAGAATGATGATGCATTAAAGAAATATACAGTATTATTAGTGCTTCAAGTGCATATGAAAAGATATGTCTCTCACGCTTGACATACAGAAATGTAGTGCTACTGCTACTACTTTTGGTATATATGAGTTATTTACAGCTTGACCGTTTAAAACACGCTTTAGTCATTTAAGATTATCATTGTGTTCTGGTGTTTTTGTACAAATAAAACTGAGAAGTCATTCCAAAGTGGACACATACGATCGAACAATGTGAATGTGCACTAAGTGTTTACACTTCATATCATCAAGTTCTACTTTGATCACTTGAAATCGCACTCCTGGTTGTAACAGAATCTCTCTTTCTTCCTGATGAGAACTTATTATTGACAGATCTACAAATTGATCTTTCGATGAGTAAAGTTCTAATTCAATAGTGTACAAAACATTTTGTGCAAAACTTTCGGCGACGTCGTGATCACGTGAGGTAGAAACAAAACAGAGCCATTTGAAATATTTAGACTTGTCTCTAACTGCTTGTTGATATTCTTGTAGTATTTCTGGAGAAATAAAATCACCACGAAAGACAGTAACTAACTGAGATTCAGTCGGATGAAGAATTTGTCGAAAACGACGACGCATTGAAAAATCATTATTGAGGTATCTGCCGATGTAGTTGAAAACAAGAAAGCAGTAAGGTCCAAGAGTACGCAATTTAGTGTGATCATTATCGCGCAATGCAGTGTTGACTGTACGATAGATAAAACATGATCGTGTATAAAGTTTTGCACAGCAGTTTTCGAGTTCTTTCATTCTCTTCTTCTCACTCTCCCGAAGAACTTCATCTCTAATCGTATTTAAAGTATTCATGATGCCACGTACTGTATGTTTTGATTCGGTTTGTCCTTCCTCTTGTAAACCTTGTATAAGGACAGGAAAAATAGAATTGAATGTAACTTTCCGTTTTCCGTTGGTGAATGTCAGAAACCATTCTTCAATAAATGGTGAGCCATAATACTTTGTGTCCACAGCTACACTACAGTTTGAAACTAATCCCAAAGGAAATGAGAATCGTTCACAACGTCGAGATTCATCTTCGATTGCTTCATCGCTCGAAACTGATGATTTATGAGAACATCGGCGTCGTCGTCGAATCGATCGTCTACTGTTTCGATCATCAATGTGCTCTTGTACGAAGCGTTTTAAATCAATACGATACATTTCATCAATAAATACCTCTTCCAGGTCTTGTCGAAAGGCTTTTTCAATGATTGATGATTCAGCATCAGAAAAAGGGATCCACTTATCATTCATCTGGTATACCCAAATGAATTCATCCTGAACTGATGTTTCCGGGATTTGACGTACTGAAATCAATCTTACCGGCAACGTCATGTTTGATAAGCACGTAGATGACGTAAGATTAATACTGGAATTTCTATGTCAATCTTTTCGAGAAGCGATAATGAATTCGAGTTTTACTGATTATAGTTAATCGTATCCACCAGGTATATGTTCACACTTTCTGAAAATAGAGAATTTGAAAAAGGAATTTATCAAAAACGACTCTTTTCGCTAAAATGATATTGTTTAGAATGATGAGAAACACTAGCATATGGTCGAAGACCAAAGGTCACTTTTCTCTATAGGTCAGCAACTGAATAGAATATGAACGCATTTTTAAATCGACAAAAATCATGAAATACTGAAGATGACTTGATAGAAAACAAGATACTTGCGAAGAACAACGAATACAAGAAAGTTTACAAATAAATGAATAAAAACTTGTTTTCTTGTTTATACAAAAGAACAGTACGACATTCTCATGACATGATTAAAACTACTCAATGAGTTTTTATTCAAAATAATAAAGAAATCTTCCTTGAGTATATTCATCTAACACATATCACGTTTACATCGGAGTTCGGTGACAACAAGGAGTTCTGCTGTAACTCGTACAGAATTTTTTCTGGTAATAACTTATATCATCAAATCTTCATAAGTAATACATAACGTGCGATAAAATGAAAGTACTTGTACGCTGATGATAGCATCTTCTATCACGATTTGTCATTAGAAAAGTGTTCCTTGATACTATTCTTAAATTAGCTATTCCTTCTTAGATTTCATATATATGGATATGAATCTGAAGCTTATAATTGAGTGTTTCATTCTTGGCAACATCGAGTTTGTAAATACGCTTTCTCAACTATTCGCTTCAGATTTATATCAATATACATCAAATCTCAGAAGGAATAAGGTAATTCTTTGAAAACCATACCATAATTACATCGACTATATCCGAATCGTTTTCAACTTCATGAGTTTGTTGAACTTGGTGTTGCAAATCCAAAAATAACTTTAATAAAGTTTTCAAATATCGGTATAATGGCTTCCGGTCAGCGGCTCCCAGGCTATTCTTAGCCCACCCACATTTTATTTGATGCGCTGCTCTATATTGTCCTCAAGATAAAAAAAAAAACTGAAAAAAGTGTTATCTCTTTGTAAAATTTGTTGCTTTAAGACTCTACATTTTGCTTCATCTAATTCGATTGCGGGTCGTCATAAAACATATGAGTTGTTCCATATTTCTCTCTATTTTTATGTAGACGCAGTTTTCGTCAACATCTATTAACTGTAAATTTTATAACTATCACTAAGAGTGTGGATGTGGGTATATGGGTATAAGTTTAGTATATAATCACGTCATCGTCTAGCAAAATACATCAGCTTGCTAGTTTAAAACAGTCTATATATACACTATACAAAGAAACGAAAAAAACATTCGATGTTTACGTCATATTGTCAATATTAAATAGTGCCAAAAAATGTAATTGCACAATGTCAGTATTATACATCATAAAGTTAATCTGTATAGAATTTATTTTTGCAGAAAAACTGCAAAAGTAATTTCTGACATTGTCTGTTACAAATTTTCGTTGGTGTTAAATTTCATATATGCCATTCTAAAGAAGTCATTCATACGCTTATGTTATTCGCTAAAAGATCAGCTTTTAATGTGCCATGCGTGTAGGAAAGTGTATTTACTTTTTTATGATCAAATATGACTCACGTTAGTATCATCTGTATGATTGTTTTCTAAGATAGAGGATATGTAGAACAAGTACCTAAAAAATAGGACACTTTCGAACTGAAGTCGTACAGAAATTCATTTTGATTGTTAAACAAAAACATGACGATTGATCTTGGGAACAATGGATCATTTTTTTTCCAGATGTATCGTAATATTCTTTACAGGAACGTGTAATGTCAAATGTCAGCATGGAAAATTTATCGAAAAAACAAAATTGAAGCTTCTACATGTCTAATATCAGAGACAGTATCTTTGTTTTATGATGTGCGACATTCAAAATTCAAACTGAAATTAGCAACATAAGTTGAATTTTGGCTATTTTCGATCAGTTATCAAGGAATTTTCTACGATATGTAACGTGCATGATTTGAAGGAAAGTTTTTATAAAGTCGATGTCTGACGATATTAAATGTTCGGTTTTTCATACTGACATCTGGAATAAAATATTGTAGAGATTTTTACGGCAAATAATTAAGAAAAAAAAATCGAAATTGTATCAAGAACAATTGGAAATGAAAAGCTACATAGTTTTTACTACATCACCCCATTAATTCATTTTGCATATAGGCGTCGTTGAATCGTAGAAGTGAAGCTGTCCTCTTTTTATGATGGCGCGGAAAAGAAGAAAAATACTGAATATAAAAACACTTCATCCTTCTCGACTCGTATAAATATTGTGTGTCGCATGTCTAGAACAGTAATTGCGATCAAAACGGTAGTAGTGCTTTTTTTCTTGAGTTCTGTTGGATTTTACCTAAACGCTTGTTTTTGTGTCACAATTCGAGGTAAAGCAGAAAATAGCGCAATCGATTAAGCTTTTACCCTCGAACAAATCATTTTTTCATTCCTTCCTAGGAACTATATCATGAAGTTAAAAATCATTAAATCAAGAAAACTTTAAAAAGCTTATCGAACATTATATAGAGAATACAGCAAGTTATAATTTCGTAAAAAAAATAATTCTTTATTTCCACTCTTCGACTAAGATATTTGAGTCCAAATATAGTTTCTATACATGGGTCAAAAATAACCCAACGGATGGTAAAGGGTTAATCGTTCTATGACGCCTTATTATATGTACAAATCATCGAGCAATTTTGATGTGTCACTTCGTTAGAAGAGAGAATTTTTAATATTCATTTCATGTTGGACAGTTATATATTATTCAAAAAAACTGAAAGACAAATTATAGTGAATTAATTGAGAATATATTTCATTTTGATGTTCAATTCGGCAAATATAAAATATTTCCATGTCACAACACGTAGCGGATGTTGGGATGCTAAAGACAATGAGAGAATAACATTTGAAATTAATAAAGTCAAATATAAACTTACTCGATCGCCAGATTCTTCGATAGTTACCTCATGTTGATACTCCTCTGATGATAAATTTATTCGTCGATGATTTTCTCTCATAAAGCAAATGCGTAAAATAATAGTGAGAATCAAACTGATTGTCGTCATTACACTGCAGATCATATGACCATATCGATAAATCGGTTTATCAACTTCTCTATAGATCTACGAACAAAATTATTGTTATTAATACTATATTAAAATCAATTATCA